CTATATATCTCCTAAAGGCTTTCTGGATCATTTCAGCATGATGAGTATAATAGTCGAAATTAAAATGCTTTGGGCAACTATATAAATGTAGTCGTACCGCTTGATCTATGGAAGCATCGGCTCCCCATCCGCGATCAATAAAAGATTTACAGTAGGTACAGTACCACCTATTTGGTAGTCGTGATACTATTCTCCTAATGTGCACAATATAAGCATATACATCTTGACGAGACCTTGGATAAGGTGGCCGCTTATGAAAACCTATTCTACTACAAGTATCATAATATCTGAATGCGCCTAGCCCACGTGTGGAAACTTTTGTCGTCTTGTCTACCTAATCCGTCGGTGTTTTGCATTTGGGTATCTCGTAAGATTACATGTTCTATAGGTTTATTCAATTATGCCATCACGGTATGTCGGTAAAAAATAAACCTACCAGTTCTTAGCAATCATGTCCAGATAACCTTGTTCGCATTTTTCACATGGCAGTATCCCGCGGTTTCAAACTTGAAAGTCTTTAGAGTCGTATTTGCATTCTCTGAACAAATGAAAAGCGCGAGGCTATCTGGCTGCTCTTCTAAAATAAATCCGTCTGTATGGATACGTCGTACTTTATCCTTGTATGGTTGAATTGCCTCAGATGTGATTTTGCGACCACGTGCTAATAAGAATGGGGCGATCCTGGGATACTCACCTTTGAAGGGATTACCCGGGTTTGTAAACTGGAATCGCCACTGGTCGGATCCTACTGGTATGATAGAGTCGAGTGTATGGCCCTCTGGAAATGTAAATGGGTCTGTTTGATCTGTGGTGAGTGTCTTGTAATTACGCTTCCTCTGGCATAATGCTCCCCATAATGTGTTGAGGACTCGCTTTGCCACGCGGCCAGCTATGCCACCCTGGTTTTTAATTTTGAAGAGGAAGTGTACATACTCACCGAATATTACAGTTCCAGGGATTCTCGCTTCTCTATCATATATCAATGCATTTGGCTTCCCATCCTGTATTAACTGTATATTGAGACCAAGTTTTTTTGCTCGTTGTAAGTCGATGAATGTATAGATTCCCCTTTTATTCTGTCGGAAGAGAATATTATTCCCACTTACCCTGGCACGGAATAATCCATACAAGGCATAACCCCTGTGGTCAACAAAGTCATTAAGTGTCTGGAATTTACCCCGTCTGATTGGAAAGTTCGCGTTCGATTGTTGGATACTCGGGTATAAACCTGTTGCGTCGTACTGTCTTCCATAGCCCTTCCACTCGTTATCTGCCCAGATTAATCCTCCCATCATTGCATCACTTAACCACTCTGCTTCTATCGGGTCAAGAGGATCATTGGCTGGAATCCCTACACTTAATCGTTCGAATAACCAGAGAGCCGTTCTTTTGTAAGACCAGTTATGGTATGATAAGTCGATTCCTAAACCGAACTTCTTTGTAGCCTGTAGAAAGGAATTCCGCTCCTCGTGGATTCTCTGATATGCTTCTTCAAGAGTTTCATATATTCCCGTTTTACAGTTTTTCTCAACAGAGATAAAGGAACTCTTAGAATTCTTAGTTTTTTGAAACTGCCCAATTGTGCAAGATTTAACTGTTTTGCCGTTGTATATATATTGTGACTACATTATTGGTTCCATCTTCATGGTATATAATGGGTAAATTACGCTTTCTATCTATTTTACTGGGGTGGAGTCTTCCGGGATTTAACGCGAGAAAGTAATGGCCTTCTGACAGGATGAGTGTTACACGTCTATCGGACTTACTCTTAGAGATTCGGGTAATGTCCCCCACAATATTAATTGCGAGACTTCCTGCGAGTTGTTCAACCTTGTCCATGCATGAAACTGGGATGGGAGCATCGCGATTGAGACCTAATACCTTTTTGATATATTCGGGCTTTTCGATTGACTTCGATATTTTAGAAAATGTGCCGTAGATATATTTCAGGCATTCATATAGGCAATCATTTAGCTCCCCATCGCATCCTTCTGTGGCCGGTGGAGCGTCTCTTATATAAATTATAAATCGTTCGAAATAATCGGGGTCTGCGTCGTCTGGTAGTTGTGCTTCATCATAATGGTCTAACAGTGAAAAGAGACTTACCGGTTCATTTCCTGATGTCTATCGACCGGGTTTCCAGTTTTCATAGGGAAGTAGAATCTGGAATTTACAATTTGGATATTGGGATTGGAGTCGCTGACCGAGTCTTGCTATTGCTCCTCTGGAAAAGCGGGCACCAGAAAACTGGAGTTCCTTGATGTCAGGTCGTGTTGGTAAGGCGCGTGTGATTTTTGAATGGGTCATTTGATATACTATGAATTGTATTCAATTGTAATATAGCTTTTCTTTATAATAAGTGTAGGATAATTTAGGACAAAAAATATAAGATAATTACACGTCACTTATCTTATTAAATGGAGTCAATCATATCACGGACCTCATCAAAATACTCATCATCAAACTCGTCTATGAGTCCATTGACGGCCTCCCATTCACGTTCCATATCAGTTTTTAGACATTACTCGGAGATCTCTCGCGCTTTTCCCTTATCTGCCCTCATAGTTTCATACCCAGAGGGGGTGGGAATAATCTCGGCATTACGATTCTCCTTGTATGCTCTTATTAAATCTGCGAGTTCTTTACGGCTAGGTGTTTTAGGTAAGTTCCCATTATATTCAATCCAGTCCTTGAAGCGGTCTACTACTTCCCTAAGGTAGTACTGGTACTTGTCCTCAATACGCGTTGTGGGACATTCCTCTATTTCAAACGCGAGTATTTCCCAGTCGTATTCATCTGACGCGTCTTGATACTTGGCCCATAATTCCTTACCTGTATTGTAGAGATCATTGAAGACCTGGTCCTTTGAATTTTTAACCTACGGTTTGCGATCCCATCAGTGTCTTTCTTGCCAAGCCCAGTGCGCTCGAGTGCCTTCCTTTGGTTCAGGATCCCGGTCGACTTCTGGTTCTGTGTCGGGTTCTGGGATAAGTTGCTTTTCAGGAGCCGGTTCTGGGTCAGGCTTAGTGACAGATGCAGAAGATTCTGCGGGAGACTCAGGTTGTTGTTCAGGAGTTGGGTCCATGGTTGTAGAATCCGAGTCTGATAATAAGTCGTCTAAGATGTCATAGTTATCTGGCTCAGGGGTGGGTTCTTCTTGGTCAGGTTCCTCGTCAGATAGATAACAATCTGAGAAGCTATCTATAGGTTCATCGGTATCTGACTCATTAGTATCTTCATCGGGATCCGGTTGTTCTTCCCTTAACTCTTGTGGACATTCTTTTAAGTGATCAGGCTTGGGTGGAAGCGGTGGAGGAGCCCTTTTGGAAACCAGTTGCTCTTCGATAACAGGTTCAGGTTTTTCTTCAACGGGTTTTTCTTGTACGTCTTGTGAATTGTTAGCTGGATTATATATATTTGCCAAGAACTTCTCTAAGGCTTTAGGATCAAACGTGGACTTCTCGGGAGTATCTATATCTATTCCTTCTATGTCTATCTCGTCTGTTTCGTGGATCCAGTTTTTGCCGAGAAATTTCTTGTAGAGGTCCCCCCTAGATATGCTGTAAACTCGAGTGCGCTTCTTATCAATATACATTCGATCACTATTTATATTTAACTCATTTGATAGGATTCTAGAAGCATTTATCTTTGATAGTGGTGAAATGCAATGAGTTTCGCAATATGAAGTATATACCCTATAAAATTCTTGAACAGGTAGGTCGGTCATATAATTTTTCATTACGAGGTATGTGTTTTTTATAAATTGGAATAGCGGTAGAAGAGTCGAGATGATATGTTCCTGTTTGGATGTTGTCATGGGTGGCGGATTCCCATTGAAGTCCGGGTAAGAATCCGCGATGGCTAAGCATAGAACACCTCACCAGCGCCTGGGTATTTCATAGCGTCACCGAGTTTTTTGAAGTAGTTGAGGTCTCCCTTGCGGGATAGTGATACATCCAAGAACACTGTGCGCCTATCATCATTCTCCACTCTGAGAGCATTTTCGTTGGTTAGGACGATGGTGGACATAAAGTTTTTGTAATGTGTTGGTGTCTTGTATTTTTCGTGAATTTCCATTATGTCACTCGTTACTTTATCCTTCAAAGAGCGATACAGATTATTCTACTGGCTTTTTTCTGTGGGCATTTCCTCGAGAAGAAGAAGCACCTTACCCTGTAATTGCCCATTGAAACTTCCAAGAATTGTCTGAGGATCGCTGGTCTTATAAACGAGTTGAGTGCCTAGGACGCTACGCTGAATGAAATCTGTTATAATACCTTTGCCCCAACCCTGTCCAGATTTCAGGTAAAGAATCGAGTACATCTTCCTTCCAGCAGATACACCGGCCAACCACTTAATGATATACTCAGTAAGATTCCAATCGCCTGAACACCAGATATCCCGAATGTGAGAAAAGATAAATTTAACCGCGAGGTGGATTGTAGACTCAAAGGTGGATATCGGACGCAAGACATGGAGAAATCCTGGAAAGATATTTAGATAGAGTTGGCCGGTTAAGGATCTGAAGATTCGCTGTTTATGGGAATCACAGGTTGCATTACATACATCGGTATTCTCGACCATAAACCACTTGTAGATGTTGAACTCAGTCTTTTGAGAGGGTCCTTGTTCAGGTTGTGTGTAGAATGCCTTCGTGATTGGACGGATAAGTTTACCAATATTTTTGTCAATAACGTATTTCAAACTTTTACTATCCGGGTCCCACCAGAAAACTCTATGAGGATCTGCACAGGGAATGAAATAACTGCAAAGATACCTCTTGGCTTGATTGAGATCACTCATACTTTTTGCAGTGATAATAAGCCGTTTAAGCTCATCGATACTGAAGGCTTTTGTTTGTTCACCGAATTTGGGGATAACTTGAGCTTGAGTGGTCATTTTTTCGTTCTATCAAATCGAGTACTAATTTATAGTTACCTAATCTTCAATTGCCGAATGTATTTTTTCTAAAGATCTGCGCTCCTCCGGTCCTACCTGGTTATCTCTCTGTGGCTTTACAGACCTTCTAGGGATTATACTTGCGTGTCAGAGTAATATGTTTACCTGAGTATGTTAGAAGTGCAGATTACCCGCTTACTTGCTCACTGCGTTCGCTTTACATAAAAGTAATCAACCCGCTAACCGAAGACATAAACCTACCCGCTGACCTACCTGTTATCAGTTCGAAAAGCCGATTGGAGGCTAAGAAATGTGGGACAGATTTTTTGGGACAGACGGGACCGATGGGACGCATTTTGGGGGGTAAAAATAAAACTTTTTCTGGGGGATGTCCTTTCCTATATTTCTGAAATATCTGTCCCATTTGTCCCATCTGCCCCCCCCCTCTTATTCTCTCTTCTTTTGCTTCCTTTTCTATTGTTTTCTGGTTTTTGGTTATATATTTATGGGACAGATATGGGGACAGATATGGACAGATATATGGGGAGTCATACCCCCACGGAAGGGGGATGTAGGTACTGCGAGGCCGTGGCTGAGGTGGGGTGAGCGCTAGCGAGACACACTACCAGCCCGACGACTTTGGAGAATATCGAATATGTGGCGTCCCAGGTCAGAATGAATACCAACGATTTCAAATGAACATCCCAAATGAACATTGCAAATAAACTGAACGTAGTTAGCGAAGTGGTTTGTTCCCAGCTATTTTACTTATTGATATAAGCCAAGTGTGACCTTTGGGTCACGGTCTCATAGTTAAGTTTTTATTATTATCCGCTGATCCTATCATATTGTG